AAGAGGGAAGGGGCCATAGGAAGGGAAGGGAAGGGGGGAGAGGGAAGGGAAGGGGAAGGAAGGGGGGGGAGGACCATCGGAAGTGCGACGTGAGAGTAGCGGGCCGCCCACCTGACGCTGCAGTGTTTATCTTCAGGTAAGTCCTTGTGGTCGGGGAGGGGGGATTGTGTGTACGTGCTCGGGGAACAATGTGTGGAAAAATACTTAGTCGGACACACACAGACAAAACACACACATACACCACACACAAACACGAACGCACACACACACAAACACGAACGCACACACACACACACATACACACACACAACACACACACACACACACACACACACACACACACACACACACACACACACACACACACACCCGTCCACAGCGGAATAGACATCACGTGCTGAGCAACCACCCAAATTATCCACGCAACAAAAAAAGAAACAACAGGAGAAAATACGAAGAAAAATTGGATTTCTTTCCTTGATTTAAAAAAGAAATCTTTAACGCCCTCAAGTCACCCGAAATTGCCCCTTAAGAAGCCCGGAAATAATGACCGAATTAGCGTAACAAGCGAAGAGGCAGTTAGCACGTTCTGGAAGGCAAGAAAGTGTTACAGCCCCCGAGGGCGTCTTCAAAAGCCATAATGGTCGAGTTCCTGTGTAGCCTCGAGGGATAAGTCGACCATCCCGATTGGCAGCGCTCGGACTAACCTTCACGGCTTTGATTCTGTTAAACTTTTTGAGAATTTAAGTTATTTGAAAAAAAGCGGATTTTTGTTGTTGTTTTTGCAGTCCTTTAGATTGGAATTGGGTCTCGCTATTGAATAAGTGTGAATGGGAGTTTTAGAGGCGTTTTTTGTCAATCTTTCATTAAATATTTAGCGTTTTATTCCCTCTCTGTGCACGTTATCGTCCTAACATTCGATGAATAGAAATAATTTAGAGAATAAGAAAACAAAAACTAGACAAACAGAATTAACAAATAAACTTATCAAAACCTCAGAACTAAAATATGTGTGTGTGTGTGTGTGTGTGTGTGTGTGTGTGTGTGTGTGTGTGTGTTGTGTGTGTGTGTGTGTGTGTGTGTGTGTGTGTGTGTCGTTACAGTAAAACCATCAAAATTACTTCATTAAAAACATCACATCAAACACAAACGAGGAAAATAAAAACAAAAAAGACAAAAATAAATAAATACGCCAATGAAAAACAAAAGGAAAAGGAAGAAAAATGAACAGATATAAAGTGTATAAAACATTTGTATCGCGAGACAGGTGGTAAATTGGTACCCCTCCCCCCCCTCAATGCGGATACACAGGGGTTATGTAGTCGATCTTTCCTACATCCGGGTTGCGAAAAGGAAATGGAGGAAGGAGGAAGAAGGAGGAGGGAAGTGGAGGAGAAGGAGGAAGTGGAGGAGGAGAAATAAGTAAAAAAAAATAGCGCCGAAGGAATTGGAAATAAATGTTCCACAATGAAAGAGAAAGAGAAGTAGTAGAAAGAAACGAAGGAAGGAGAGAAACGGCAGAAAGAGGAGAGAGAAAAAGCCAAAGTTGAAAGAAAACGGAAGCAACACATTATGGTAAAGCAAGGAAGCACAAAGTAAAGAGAGTGAGAGGCAGAAGAACGAACAAGGAGACAGAGAGACAGACAAACAGGTATGGAAATAGAGACAGAGACAAACAGATATGGGGAAAGAAGAGAGAGAGAGGGGACGGACAAGTAGACACAAAGACAGATAGATAGACATGGAGAGAGATAGAGACAGACAGACAGACGTACAAGAAGAGAGAGACAGGAAAGAGAAAGGAACGAGAGAGAGAGAGAAGGAGAGGAAGAAGAAGGGAGAGAGAGAGAGAAGGAGAGGAAGAGGAAGGGAGAGAGGAAGAGGAGGAGGAGAGAGAGAGAAAAGAGAGGCGAGGGAGAGAGAGAAACAGGCAGACATGGAGAGAGGGGACGAAGAAAAAAAAAAAAGAGAAGAGGGAGAGAGAGAAACAGACATACATACAGAGAGACGAACGAACGGACAGACAGAGGCAAGAAAAGCCTTTACACCGGAAGTTGAGCGGTTACCAGATTCTACAACGTCCTCTTAAGCGCTCTGCACATTATACTTAGCACTCCAATCCCGCTACACATTCCCCTGGCGTTTGGATTCAACTGTAGGATAAGATACTACCTTGCATTTTATCATTAACATTATCCATTATCCTTAATTTTTAACGTCTGGGATACTAGCGCTATTTATTAAGGTATTACGGTGAGAATTATTGGCGTAATTTGCTAAAGAAGAGTTTTGTAATTTTGGAGTAAAAGAAATATTGAGAAAAAAAACGAGTGGTGAGATCTGTTTTCTTGAGTTCATGTTTCCGAGAAAGAGTTCAACAGAGGTGAAATATAAGAGCGAGAGAGAAAGAGAAGAGGACAAGTGAGAGAGAAAAGAGGAAGAGAGAGAGAGAGGAGGAAGAGAGAGAGAGAGAGTGAGAGAGAGAGAGAAGAAAAAGAGGAAGAGAGAGGAGAAGAGAAAGAGAGGAAAGAGAGAGAGTGGAGAGAAAAGAGGAAACGAGAGAGAGAAAAAAAAGAGGAAGAGAGAGAGAGAGAGAAAAGAGGAAGAGAGTAAGAGAGATAGAATTCCAATCGAGGATTCAATACCCTATGAACTGAAACGAAGAGTTCAAGCCTACAAATGGGTTCACATCTCAATGAACCGAGACAGAACGGACATCAAACCCAGACAACGTAAAAATTTACCATCCTTTTCTCGGAGATATAGACAGACCCAAGCAATATAACAGACTCTTCAACCTCATAAGACAGACAGACAGACCCCACAGACCAAGACAGACGCCCACTCTACGAGACAGACAGACACTCTATTCACTAAGAACTGAGACTGGTATACTTTCCCACTCCTTAAAACATAGAAACACCCAACCCCTTTCTCTACGTACTCGCACAGACTTTCCAACACCTCAAAAAACACTCAAAAACCTCCCTGTTTCTCTAAACCCTCACGAAAGACTCACTTAAACCCTTTCTCTGCAAAAATGAGAGAATTTTCCAACCCTCTGAGTCTCGAGATCCAAGCATCGAGATATCCCCTATATCTCCACCTCCCGAGACCTCCATAAGACAGACAAGATAACCCCCTACACCTCATCAGATACCTAACCCCCTCTTCACCTCCATAAGACAGACACCTTTGAGGTTGAGATATCCCTATTTCTTCCTCCATAAGACAGAACACCTCGGTATTTAACCCCTCTCTCTCCAACTCCCTCAGGTAGACACACCCTTGAACCCTTCCTCTACGAACCAAGAGACTCCCCAACGCCTGCAGACAAGACGCAGCCAGCCCCCTCTTCCCCCAGCGGCCGCGAGCGAGGCACACCCCAACTCCCCTTCCACGGAAAGCTCCCAGGACGCACAAAGCTGCCAGCGACAAGGCGACAGCAACCGGAGAGCCAGGGAGAGAGAGCCAACAAGCCACGCCGGAGTGAGCCAAGCCAAGCCACCAGCTAATCCAGAAACCCGACCCATCTTCGGTATACCACGGCTGCCGCAAAAAGATGGCCGTGCACCCCACTAATCCCAGAAACCTGTACACCGCTGCCACCACACGCGGCCACTCCTACCACACGCAGCCGAGTCGGGCCACCACGCCACGAGGCTTGCAAAGGCCTTCTTTAGTGCACGATTGGCCCTGGGAGAAGGGGGGGGGGGAAGGGGAAGGGGGGGGGGGGGGGACACGATAGTCGCTCGAGTTGTCAATTTTCTTTTTTTTTCTTTTTTTTTTTTTTGGCTTTGTTTTGGGTTTGTATATCACTGTGTTTTTCATTTGTTTGTTCGGATGGAATGTTAATGTATTTTGCTGGTGTTACTGCATATTTTAAGACGGAATATATTAATAGTGATTCAGTGAAAAGACTAATATATAACATAATAAGTAATTATATCAATAATGATGATAATAATAATGATTAAAAAAATATCAAAATCATCTTTATAATGTTCGGTCAACATCTTTTCTTCATCTTCTTCTTCATTCCTTCATTTTGTTATTCGTCTTCTTCATTCATTCATTCAGTCTTATACATTTCTTCTTTATCTTCCTCTTTAATTTCTTTTTCTTGTTCTTCATTTATTTTCTTATTTCTTTATTCATTCTTCTTCTACCTTTTCTTCCTTAAATTGCAAGTTGCTATAATGATAATATTCGCAGTAAAAATAATATCTATACCAAGAGAATGATCGATGATAATAATGATCATGGTTTTGATGATAAAGATAATAATAATAATAATGATAATGACATCAATAATAACAATGATAATAATAATAATAATTAAAGCAATAATAATAATGATGATAATAAAATAATAATGATAAAATAATATAATGATAATAATAATAATAATGATAATTGATAATAATAATAAATAATGATAAATAATAATAATGATAATTGATAATAATAACTATGATAACATATAAAATTAACAATAATTTCCGACAGGCGAAGTACTACAATAGTGATCATATATCAATATAACAATAACTTTAATGTTACAGTAATAACGATAATGAATTATTAAATGCAAAAAAAATCTTAAGCAAAGTCGCCACAACGCTTTGTGAGCGGAAGCAAGTCCCTTTCCTGCCTCGCAAGGACACGTACACACACGTACACATGACTGCTGAAATACGTACACACGTACACATGATTGCTGAAATACGTACACACGTGCACATGACTGATGAAATACGTACACACGTACACATGACTGATGAAATACGTACACACGTACACATGACTGATGAAATACGTACACACGTACACATGACTGATGAAATACGTGCACACGTGCACATGACTGCTGAAATATATATAAGACACAAGACACGTACACACACAAGTACACGGCAAAACCACGTGCACATACACGTACACATGAATGCAGAAACGCGTACACATCGATATATAAACGATGAGGCATAAGACACGTACACACACAGGTACACATGAATGCAGAAATACGTATACATATATATATATATATATATATATATATATATATACAAGACATGCACATACATGTACACACAGATGTAACGATGAAGAGACTCAAGATATGTACACACACACACACACACACACACACGTACACACATGAATGCAGAAGCACGTACACACATAGATAGACATATGCACATAGAAACAGACATAAGTATACATAGGAATAGATACAGGTGGATAGATATTTCCAGAAAAAACGTACATAGAAACAGACACGGGCATACACACGAGTAAAGATGCAACCAAAGAAGATACACACGAATAGAAACACTCATACAGGCAGACAAAAAGACGCGAAAACACGCACACGCACACACACACACACACACACACACACACACATACACACACATACACACTGACACGCCCCAAACGACACACGTACACACACACACCTATTTCCTTTACACAGCTGGGATTTCCCTTCACATTTACCAAGAACGCTCAAATGGATTCAGAATTCCGCGTTCTCGTATGCCGACTTTTTACCAAGAAGCGCGAAAATGGATTCAAAATCCCGCGTTCTCGTATTCCGTCTTTTTACCAAGAAACGCTGAAATGGATTCAAAATTCAGCGTTCTCGCATGCCTTTTTAAACCACGAAGCTCTAAAATGGATTCAAAAGTCAGCGTTCTCGCATGCCTTTTTTTCTTGACCAAGAAGCGCTAAAATGGATTCAAAATTCTGCGTTCTCGCATGCCTTTTTTAACCAAGAAGCTCTAAAATGGATTCAAAATTCAGCGTTCTCGCAGTTTTTTCCTCCTTTTTTTACCAAGAGCGCTCAAATGGATTCAAAAAGTCAGCGTTCTCGCCTTTTTCTTCCTTTTTTACCAAGAAGCGCTCAAATGGATTCAAAAGTCAGCGTTCTCGCATGCCTTTTTTCTTCCTTTTTTACCAAGAAGCGCTCAAATGGATTCAAAAGTTTCTCGCATGCCTTTTTCTTCCCTTTTTACCAAGAAGCGCTCAAAATGGATTTCAAAAAGCGTTCTCGCATGCCTTTTTTCTTCCTTCCTTACCAAGAAGCGCTCAAATGGATTCAAAAGTCAGCGTTCTCGCATGCATTTTTTTCTTCCTTTTTTACCAAGAAGCGCTCAAATGGATTCAAAACCCCGCGTTCTCGTATCCCAAACTTCCCGCTATCGCTTTTCCAAAACGTGCAATCAAGGAAGCGGTTCGCCCTCGTTGGGGGAAAAAATGATATTCCTTTGCGCAGTGAACGAATAGCCAAGGTCTTTCGTGCACTTGTTCGTTTAGAGGATAATAGCGAAATTGGCGGTTGTATTATGCAAACAGGAAATCGTTTTATACCTGCAGTGTCTCTCTCTCTCTCTCTCTCTCTCTCTCTCTCTCTCTCTCTCTCTCTCTCTCTCTTCTCCTCTCTCTCTCTCTCTCTCTCTCTCTCTTACTCTCACTCTCTCTCTGTTTCTCTTCTTCTTGGCGGCTCGATATTTTATTGTGAGAGGGGAGGGGTGTTATGAAGAGGAGAGGGATACAGGAGAAGGGAGGAAAAGAGGAGGAGGAAGAAGTGATAGAAGAGAAATGGTGGAAGAAGGGAGAATGAGGAGAGGAGAACGAGGAAGAGAGGAGGAGGAAGAAGTGATAGAAGATAAATGGTGGGAGAAGGGAACGAGGAGGAGAGGAGGAAGAAGAGATGGAAGGAAAATGATGGATAAAGAAAGAATGAGCAAAAGAAGAAGAGATAGAAGAGAAATGTGGAGAAGGAAGAACGACGAAAAGAGGAAGAAGAGATAGAAAAGAAATGGTGGAAGAAGGGAGAACGAGGAAAAGAAGAAGAGGAAGAAAGATAGAAGAGGAGAACGAGGAGAGAAACGAGGAGGAAGAAACAGAAGAGAAATGGTGGAAGATGAGAGAACGAGGAGAAAGGGGAAGGATAATAGAGAGAGAGAAAGGAGATTGAAGAGAAGGAGGAGAACGAGGAGAGGAATGTAGGGGAAGAAAATAAAAGAAAGGAAGAAGGGAGAGGAAAGGAAGAAAAAAGGAGGAAGGAAGAAGGGAGAGGAGGAGGAAGGAAGAAGGGAGGTGAAGAAGGAGGAAGGAAGAAGGGAGAGGAGGAGAAGGAGGAAGGAAGAAGAGAGAAAGGAAGGAAGAAGGAAGACGTAAGGAAGGAAGAAGGAGAGCAAAGGAAGAAGGAAAAAAAAAAAAAGGAAGGAGAAAGGGATACACACACACACGCACACACACACACACACACACACACACATACACACACACACACACACACACACACATACACACACACACACACACACACACACATACACACGCACACACACACACACACACAACACACACACACACACACACACACACACACAGCAGGTGTTTCTGTTACCACCTATTACTACTTCCGCCATTTTGTAACGCTATAACAGCGCAACTTCCGCTTGAGTAACAATGCACTGACACTTACCATTCTCGGACACACGCACACACACAAAAAAACATACACACACACATACATACACGCACATACAAAAAACATACACACATACATACATACACGCACACACAAAAAAACAAACACACACAAAAAACAAACACACACACATACATACACGCACACACACGTACACATACACACACGCACACACACATATACACATACACACACAAACACACACAAATAAAAGACTAAGTAAGAAATAAAATAATGAAAATGTAATAATAACAACACTAGATAAACCAACAGACAAATAAACAAAGATAAGACATACACACATACATGCTCCATAACCCCCCACACCCCAACCCCACCAACCTCCCCCACTCCCACCCCCCACAAAAAACAAAAACAGAAAACACACGAAAAAACACAAACACAAAAACAAACAAAAACAAAAACACAAAAAAACAAACAAACAAAAAAAAAAAAACAAAACAAAAACAAAAAAACACAAAAAAAAACAAAAAACAAAAACAAAACACAAAAAGCAAAAACTCACCACTTCTGTATGTCCTTCTCTCACTCCAGCTTGGAACCTCTGCCGTCGTTCCTCCATAGGTCTGTCTCTGTATCCTGTGTATCGAACCTGCTTGAGTACAGAGGGGAAAAGAGGGGTTAGTGTGCTGCTTGTGACTTAGAAAAGGGGTTTGTGTGGTGGCTGTGTCGTTTAAAAGGGTTTGTGAGTGTGTTGTGTCTTATAAAAGGGGTTTGTGCGGTGGCTGTGTCTTATTAAAGGGGTTTGTGTGGTGCCTGTGTCATTAAAAGGGGTTTGTGAGCTGTGTGTGTGTTTAAAAGGGGTTGTGAGCTGTGTTGTGTCTTATAAAAGGGTTTGTAAGCTGTATGTGTCTTATAAAAGGGTGTGTTTGGTGTCTTATAAAAGGGTTATCATTATCAAAATTATAAAAATCATCATCATTAGCAATATTAAGATTTCACTGTGAAATTACTAACCATTTCCAATTATATATTTTTCTACACATAACTATCCCATCTTTGAGGTGAAATTAAAGGGTTTAGCGTACTGTCTATGTCCGATAAAAAAAGAAATTAGTCTAACCTATATTATTTACGAAAAGGGTTACCATACTAATTACATGTTGAGAAAAGAAAGTTAGCGTGTCTATAGTGTGTTTGTGACTACGATAAAAAGTTAGTTTTCTAAGTCAGTGTGAGATAAAATGGTATGTTGTTTGTGCGCTTGAGAGAAAATTGCAAGTATGTTGTCAATTTCTTTGCAATAAAGCGTATGTGAATTGTGAATTTATCCATTTGTACGTATTGTGTGTATCTGTGTGTGTGTGTGTGTGTGTGTGTGTGTGTGTGTGTGTGTGTGTGTGTGTGTGTGTGTGTGTGTGTGTGTGTGTGTGTGTGTGTGTGTGTGTGGTGTGTGTGGTGTCCGTGCTGCGTGCGTGTGTCTGTGTGTGCATGAGTCTATGTACGTGTGCATATCTGTGATCGCACACACACAAAGGCAACCAGACTAACAAATAAACACAAAGACAAAAACATTAAAAGACACAAAGACACAAATAAAAAGTTAAATTACAAATAACTGTTTCCTATTTTCGAACAACACAAGCATTTCTTGATGGTGATAATAACCGCTATTTGTTATTACTGTGATTATCCTTGAGCTTATCAATTCATTTACAACTTTTATATGTTATCGGAATCGTCTGCTCAAAATGACAATAGTAATTCATGATGTTATAGAAACGAGATGATAACAACAACAATAATAATAATAATAATAATAGTAATAATAATAATAATGATAATGATAAAAGTAATAATATATGTTACCAATATAATAATTTATAACATAATCATTACCATTATCATAGTTATTGTTATACTAACAACTGTTATTATTATCATAATCATTATCTCCATTATCATTATTACTATTATCATCATCATTGTTATCATTAATGTCAAAAGAGTAATAATAATAATACCAAAATTTTAATAGTATTAGCAATACTAATAGTATAGTAAAAATAACACTAATAACAATAATAATAATATTATTGATAAAAATAAAAGATAATAATAATAGCAACAACAACAACAATAACAATAATTATAACAATAATCATAATATCATCACTATTATCATCATTATTATCTTTAGTATCATAATCACCATTTCAACACTAGCACAATTGCCACTACTATTACTAATAATAATAAAACTGCTATATCAATAATGAAAATAATAATAATAACCAAAATAAAAAAACAAGAATTATGGCAACAACAGAAAACACAAAAAAAAATATTGCAACTCTGATAATCATCAAGTTCCCTTTTATTAACATTTCAATATTATCAAGCGTCTAGTATCACTCTCTTTATTATCATCATTTTTATTATTATTATTTGTGTTATCATCATTGCTGTTATTCTAAGAGTTCTTGTTAATGTGTTATCTGTATTGCCATCTTTAATACTCTCATTATTAGT